CATCTCATAACCATGAATGGATCGACGTATCTGATGAAGCTTGCCTGCAAATACATGGCGTTCCGACTTGTCTCACATTCGGACGCAGCTAGCTATTCAAGATGGATTTGATCACACGGCATGATGCAACCAAAGGCTTGACAGTGAAGGGAAAGTTGCGTGGCGAGTCTTGTCTGCGCAGCGAGCTGAGAGGCCGTGACCCTCCCTCCCTCCAACTCCCGTTGCTGAGTGCTTTGAGGTAGGACGAGTGGCTTGGATGCTCTCTGGTCATTTTTCATTCAAATTGTGTAAAGACGCGCCTGGTATTTGATCCGTAGGACGATCAAGAATGCGCCGAGAGGTAGCAAGGTACAACAGACAGATATGGACACGTCAGAGGTATCTTCACGCTTTCAAGAGTGGAAGGGTACCTCTGCGTTCATTGATTGTCCAGCACGAATACGGTACAGTACCTCTTTGTCCCGTACCAGATCACCATGCGTGCAGCGCTCCCCCACGGCATCGGCGGCCCGGCGTCAGCTAGCGCGCGGGTAGATTCAAGATTCAGCGCCAAACGATCTCGAATGTGCATTTTAGGGCACGAAGCTCCAGATGCTGCGTCCGCCGTGCCGATCCTGCGCATGCATCGACATACCGGTATACAAGTTGTGATGTATTTGAATATTCTATCAATCGCAAGTATAAATACAGCTCTACTTATTTGACTTGCTCTGCCGGTGTACATACAATTGTGAATTAATTTAATGATCGAGAATGTGCGCGATATCTGCAGTCTCTGAGTCTGGCCCACCTGCCCTCCACATGCGTGGCTTGACTGCATGGTCGCGCAATGCTGATCGCCAGCGTCATATGCATCGATCGCACGCGCGCCGCATGAAGTCACAGTCACGAGTCGGCACGTTTGGGCACACCAGCAGAAGAGTCAATCAGAATGGAAATGGGTCTAGGCAAGCAACGGTGCAACGTGCGGGGATGCTGAATTAAGCCAGATCAAGCAAACGCGCGTGGCTCAAGACAATTCCTGAGTGCACGGAGAGAAGAGCGATGGGAGCCCGGCTGCGGGCACCCGTCTCGTGCTGATTCTGAGCTAAGAACACGCATCCAGCAGATCTCATCATCGCCCAGAGGAGGCCCAAAGCAACGTCGTCACCGTACTGCGCAAAGTGTCGTTGCGGTCAACAAAGCCGGGCCATGCCACGCGAGGACCACGTCTTTGCTTAATGCCTTCCATCATCGCGCAACACAGTCGTTCGCAAGGCACACTATCCGCATCAGAGACGGTCGCTCGGTGACTCTTTCTTCTCAACCACCCTCCAAAGCAGCGCAGGCCTCGCGTGCACAGACTTGTTGAGGTTGCTCTCGAGTCCTTAGCACTTTGATTCCTCGCGCTCGGCCTCAGCGCAGCGCGATGACCTCCCTACTCCCCTCCTCACTCTCGCGGCCGCATACGACAACGACCACAGACTCGCGACTGCTGACCAACTTGATCAAGACTGAGCGAAACTACATCAATCACCTCTCCTCTGCCGTTGGCTCTGCGCGCACTGCCGCCTCTGCGCTAACTGCATGGGGCACGGCCGAAGCGCCAGATATTGCTGAAGCTTCCGCTCAGCTTGCAGGACTCTTCGACAATGCGGCAGATGTGCAAGAGACGCACGTAAGCGCAATCGAGGGCTACCGCACCGCGCTCAAAGATGTAGCCGATCGGGAAGCCAGCATCCGCAATGTCGTGCGAGATCGCGACATCCTGGTAGGCAGATTGATCAAGGCTTCCAAGGCCAGCTCAAGCAGCAAGCGCTCACCAGAAGAGAGGGCTGAAAAGGTCGCTCACGCCCAGCGAGAATTGAGCGCATGCGAGGAAGTGCTGCAATTCGAAGAAGCTGCTCTGGTCGGCGTCAAGAGAAGAACATTCAAGGAGGCCCTGACCTTGCGCTGCAAGACCATGGGAGACGCTGGTGCTGCTATGGTGGACGCGGCCAAATCCGCCATTCTCCTGCTCAACGACTTTGACTCTAGCGATGTGTACCAGCCCACCAATTCCGGCATCGGTTACGGAAACGGGCAGCACGGGCGCAATGACAGCATCAATAGCTGGAATCAATACGGAGACGGGCCAGAGGGTGTAGAGGGTGAGTAGAAATGCTGCCTGGCGCATCCCTAGCGCTAGCTTGACATAGCAAGCTTGCCGGGCTCATCGTGCTTCCTTGCCCCTTCAACTCGCGCAGAGTCTCGACACAACCATCCCGCCTTCGAAAACAACAGTGTCACGCCATCGCAGTCCGCATCGCAGACGAACAGACCTGGAAACACGGGCGTGAATAGCTACGCCAACCGGTTCAATGACATTGGCGAGGACGAAGATGGGGAGCGCGGTCCCGTTGACGCACTCCAGGCAAGCGATGACAGCGACGACGAAGAGGCTTGGCAACACGCATACCGTAACGCCGACAGGCACGAGGGTGGTGGCGCGCACTCGTCGACCCTACCCCCTCCACACAGACTTGACGCCAATGTGGGAGCCACAGCGCAGCCGTTCATGCCCCCTGCTCAGTCCTCGAAAGTCAAGCCAATCAATGGCTCTAGCGCGTCTCTGAACGGGAGTGCCGCCAAGGGGTCTGCTCCGTCAGTCCCCAAGAAAGATCGACCCACTCAGCGAGCGAACGCGGCACCTATCCCAGCACGCGAGCACGACTTAAACATTGTGCCAATGCCTGCTGTTCCGACTGCCCCGCGCTTGAAACTGGATGGCACGAACCTTGGTGCTGTGCCGACAGCACCCCGCCTTTACCCGCGAAGCGACGCGCCCGGTGGGGATGACTCTTCATCGGAGGGCGCACCAACACACCAGCATCGCGGAGGCGGCTGGCAGGCTCGGCCAGAGTCCCGCACGGCACGTAGAAATGCGTCGAGCGATGATGAGACCACCGCGAAAGGCAGCTCTCGGCCAGGCGCAAAGCGAGGCGGCAGCTTCTTCGGCCGTGTAGGCAAGCTCTTCAAGACAGACGTCAAGGGCGAGCCAATGCCTAGTCATCCGCCATCTCAAGCCAAAACTCAGGCTCAGGGTAGTCAACGGTCTGGCGCAGGATGGGATACGCGCACAGACGCCGCGCTGCGGAATAGCCAAGGCCCATCTCGTCGACAAAGCCTGCTTCGCCCCCTGCCAGGAGCGCCTCGTGCGGGTGCCGAGAACGCTAGCTCGGACGATGAAGAGAATCCCAAGAATTTAGTCCGACACGTCAACCGAGATCGTCCACTCTGGCGCAACGACGAGAAAGCTTCGAGCGATTTGGGGGGCGTGTCAGCCAAGGTGGCGAAACGCATGAGTCTACGCCGCCAACATAGCATCAACGCTGGTCCGCTCAGCACGAAACAGATGGAGGAGGAAGCACGGATCAGAGAGGCAGCTCGCTTGAGTGTCATCGGTGCAGGCATCGCAGGCAATGCCAATGCCAATGCTTCGAACGCTACGCTGACGCCTGGCGAGAAGACCAAGAAGAAGAAGAAGAAGAGCAAAGCAAACACAGAGACTGGGAGCGAGATCGGCACTGCTCCGACACGCACCGCGTACTCATCCGGCCCTGCTGCGTCGCGACCAACCAGCATGGTTGTACCCGGCGCCGTCGGTTCAGGTCTGAGTCGCAGTGGCAGCGTCACTCCCTCTGTACGTCGAGACGTTGCTAGTCTGGCCCGTGGAGACTCGATCCGCTCTAGCGCTTCAGGAACCGTGCGAGAGTCGAAGGCAAAGAAGCGCGGTAGCATCTTGCCAGCCCACCGCGAAGGGGGTGGGATCGCTAATGCCAGCGGCGCTCTCGGCGCTTTTAGTCCTCAAGACCCTCAAGGAAAATACACGACGAGCTCTTGGGTCGCCAAGCATCCTGACGAGAAGCCAAGTCAAAATTTTAAGGGGTCTCCAAGCCTCACCGGAAAGACGGCGGCCGAAATTGCTGCTCAAGTGGGTGTAGTACCAAAAGTTGCCGCTGCGAGTGCTCCCACTGGTCCACCATTGAGCTCCCCAACGCCGCGCCGAGCGCAGAAGGAGTCGACGTCCACCACCCAGAGCGACGTAGAGCCACCGCTTCACGTGCCTCAGCCTAGTCGCACCATGAGCCCACCTTTGAAGCCAGCGCTCAAGGTCCCTTCGGGTTTGAGCAGGTCAGGTAGTCTCTCAAACGCAACTTCAGCTGCAGTGCGTCCTCAAATGCCGCCGGTGCCATCAGCGCCCCCTCTTGCGACCAGTCTGCTCCACAGCGCCACTGCCAATGCTGCTGCGCAACGCACTGCATCGCCCGCGCCTCCCCGCCTGCCAGAGGTCTCCCAGAGCTCGCCAATTCGATCTACTACGACTGGCACTGAATTGAGCCTTGGACAGGACGACCGCTTCGATGGAAGCGGTACCCTTGGGGAGCTACCTGGCGTGGGAGCGCCTGGCGTACCGTCCTCAGACAAAGTGCTCAGCCCATCTTCTCGCCGGGGTGTCGAGTTGCCCCAGATTGACATGCCGCAAAGCGAGCCTTTCCGTGTGGATATTGCAGGTAACGGCCCCACCTTGGCTGATCGCCGCGGCTCTACACCTGGCTTTTCGGACAATCAGGCGTTCTTCACTCCGGGTGAAGCCGCAGCACTTGAGAACTTCTTCAATACCCCTGCGCCCGAGACGACAGATGATCTCGTTCAAGCCCAACATCCTCCCGGGGTGCACCAGGGCCAACCTGAAGGGGTGACACGCCAGACTGTGGAGAGAAAACGGCTAACCCCAAGCAGGACGTACTCCTCAGGAGGTACACCACTGCATGCTGATACAAGCAGCAGCGCATCAGGGACCGAGCCTGGTCCTGGCGCGTTGCAGCACGCGGGACTGCCGCAACCCACTGCATCTGTCACTTCCACTATCGCCAATGCTGTGCCGATCGCTCCTTCAAGCACACTTGCTGCACCCCCAGTCAACGTCGCGACCTCAGACACCTCCACTGTGGAGGGCTCTGGCGTGAGCAGGCGCAAGTCGGTTCGCATGGCGCCTGACGTTAAGCTGCCGCCAGAGACGCCAACGCCTGGGGTTGAAGCGCAAGACTACCTGTCGAGAGCCCAAGCGCGTGCGCCTGGTTCGTCCCTTGTCGGCTCCCTTCCCCGCATCGCCCCTCCACCCACTGCTCCGCCGCGCATTTCCGACTCTATCAGGAGTGCCGCCGACTACCAGCCAGTCCATCTCGAGGACTCCACGCCAGCCAGGCAGCGCGCTTCCTGGTCCTCTAGACTGGATGCTCGACCCGCTGCCGATGACTCTAGTTCTGACGAAGGCGATGGACTAGACTCGTACGCGAGCGCGCGCAAAGCGTTCGGAAGCGCAAGTCGTCATTTGGGCAAGGCTACCGGCATCACCGGCTCGGCTTCTAAAGGCAAAAGGAACGAGACGGAATCTCCCAGGAAAAAGAAGAGCAAAAAGACCGAGAATCATGGATACAACACTTCCGTACCTCTTCCTGCTGGTCTGCAAGTGGTCGGACGCAGCAACAGCGTGCGGAGCAAGAAATAGTGCGCTCGAACGTCAATCTCTCAACTTACCCTCCCCATAATTCACGCTCACTCCTTCAAAGCACTGTACATACGCAGAAGACTTGATGCACACTCTTTCCATACCCGGACCCATACTCTTCTGAATTCCCTTGCACTTTGTCAAGGCTTTGGTTTGCATTTCAATTCGATGGTTCTCTTCCAAATGCAAGGGTATGAAATCGATTCGGCAGGAGGCTTGCATAGGGGCTGTCTGGAGTGCGCGCTTCGCAGCCTTTAATTGTGCTTCTCCTCGTTTGCCTTCTCGTCCAGACAGACGGCGATGGCGAGGAGCAAGGAGATGTCGACGCCAGCTGCGCAGCTCAAGAAGTAAGTTTGCTGGTCAAAGAAGAGTTGTCCGACATTGACAAAGCTCCTGCCGATTCGAGCAACTGGGATGCCGTCGGACGTGGTGATTTCGGCTTTGCGATCAAACCAATCACCCTTGAGCGTTAGCTCGACATCTTCGCCATGACCCGAAGCACGGTTCTTGAAGTTGACGTGCAGCTTGGTGCCAAAGGAAAAGGACGACTTGACCGTGAAGAGCACCTCTTCACTCGAAGGGTCTCGACCTTCGTACTGTTTGTTGCAAATGCGAAGTAGGCGTGAGCATCAGATTCGACATTGGAAAAAAAAAGAGAGAAAAGTTGCATTGGCCCTGTGCGTCTCTGATCTCTTGTCCTCACAGTAAAGTGCGTGGAGAGGAGCTTCTTCCTCAGGATGAATAGCTTTGTGCCGTGGGCGTCGTAGATGTCCTTGGTGCCGTGCATGGTCCAGGCATGACCATCGACCTTGAGCACTTTTATTGACAAAAATTAAGCAAAAGCAAAAGCCGCCGGCCCGGCCGAGTCAGACATTGCGTAGCGTGTCGTGTACTTCGCTTTGTTCACACAACTCCTGAACTTGCTCACCTGTCTGATTCGTCGTCGCATCCTGGCGGGGATGGCGCAAAGGAAGTGAATGAATGCGATGGGGGCCGAATGAGCAGCTGGCGCGTGCACCGCACCGCAAGAACAGAACGTTGCATGTACTGACAGTGCAAGCAAAGTCGTCACCCGAGAATGAAGCTTTCTTCTCTCGAATCTGGCAGCGCACAAGCACAGTAGCAGGCAAGTCAAGTTGCAACGGAAAGGTATGAATAAGCTCAGGGCAGTGGTGGAAGTGGTGTATGCTCAAACTTGCCTACACTCGCCTTGAGAGTCATCTGCTGGTTGTGCTGTGCAAAGTGAGGGAGCACTCCGATCGCCCTGGGCACCGGATTCAGAGGAACGATGGGCTCGGGAGCATCGTGACGGCTGAAGAGACCCATTCTTGGCGTTGCGTGGGGGGTGGCAGGCAGGGTGGATGCGAAGGTTGTGCGTGATTCGAGTCGACGAGTAGTTGAGCGCAGCGCTAAAGCTGTACAATATCTGCGTAGAGATGATGGAAGTCAATCATCACAATCACGTTCGAATGTGAATCGTCGACTCAGACTTGCTCTTTGGTCCTTGCCGCTTGCTCTATTCACGATTGCGAGTTGCATATATAGCTGTGCGCTGCGACTCAGAGGTTCGTTCGCATCTGGAGAAAGCTTGATCGAGCACAGCAGCAGCTGCATCGCCTCAGCTAGCTACGGCAGGCACACCATCGTAGTGCTTGCTGCCAGTCAGCTCTGTCGCCCGCCTGCATGGCTCGTCGCTCATCTTCCCGCTTTCAGCTGCTGCACAGCCTCAATAGAAGCATGAAAGCGGTGGGTGCGCCCGCATGCATTCATTCTTGATTCCCATTCCCATTCCATCCACTCGTAATCGTGACTCGCTATGCTCCTTTTGATTGCGATCGAGCATGTGCATGCCATGATGCGCGAAGTGCCAAGTGCTTGCAGCAGCAGCAGCCAGGAACTTGCGCATGACACCCCTAAGCGCGTTCGCGCAGCAGGGCTCGGCCGCGGGATTTTGCACGGCGGCGAGAACGTGCACGCACAGCATGTCAAAGGGAGCAAGCAGCATCACGCGCGAGTCACATGTCCACTGAGGGCTGCACGATCATCCATCAGTCGTCAGTCTTTGCATCGTGCAAGTCGCGAAGCAGGCTTCACGCTGGCGTCGAGAGTCAAGACTCAAAATGGTCCGAAGGTCATTCAAGGATATCACGAATTGCGCGACGTGTACCTTTGTTCACACAGTCGTGATTCGGTGCTGCTCTCATGTCAATACCTTTCCGCTTTCACAATCGGACAGCGGTCGAGAGGGGATGCGCAACAGTTATCGCTACGACAGGGGTGAGAGAGAGTGTGTGTAAAAGGTGGAATGTATGTGGGTGTGCGGAGACTGAGCGTCCTTGTACGAGATGGGTTACATGTACAAAACAAGACCAAGAAAGAGATTCTAGAGTTGCGCGCAGTGATGAGAGGACAGGGGAGTGATGGGAATGGGAGAACTCGAGCTCGAGCGGGTTCGAAAAGGCTAACGCAATTGAAAGCCCCCCTTCGACGTTCCCTTTTCCGCAAACTCGAAGCGAGGGAGGTGTCAGCTTCTGGACCGGCCAAGAGCTGTGCGCGCAAGAATCGAGAAAAGGGTCGGGTGCGAAAAAGTGGGGAATGCTTTGAGGAAGTGAAGATTAGGAAGCACAGATTTGCTAAAGTGGATCTGCCACGTCATTCGGAGCAGAAGCGCCATGATCGACGTTCGCTGCTCGCGACGAGGTGGCTTTCGAGCCTTGGGTGAATCGGGTGGTGACGTTTTGAGCTTGCCGAATATGTTCGATTCAGTGACGGGATGAGGCTTGAGACTTCGGTATCGAGAGGAAACGCGCGACTTGTGGCACGGCCGAGTGCATTGTTCTGTGTGCAATGAATGACTCCCCCAAAACAGCGAGATAGAGACATCGCATAGCATACATACAAGGTGACCCCGTGCGCTTCTTCGTCTAGCCGTATGGGTTGTGCATTGGCTGTGCAGAGTGTTGTTGCACAGGAGGGCTTGGGCCACGCGCGTAAGGATCAGCTGGCGCACCTCCATACCCCGCGTTGGGATCGGCGTAAGCGGCATTGGGATCGGCGTATCCACCGTGGTCCGCGTAGCCGTGACCACCTCCTTGCGCTTGTTCACCGTAGAAAGCTTGACCTTGCTCTTGTCCTGGTGCGTAGCCTTGGCCGTAAGGGTCGTAATAACCCTGCACTCCGCCGTGCTGGCCACCGTAAGCGGAACCATCCTCAAAGCCGCCTTGTGAATAGGCCCCTGCGCCTACGGTTGATGGAGCATTGAGGGCCACTGTGGAGTTGGCAAAGCTGTCGCGTCCCTTGTTGCCGTATTCTCGCATGCTTCGGCCGTCGTCATCGTGGCCGACATCCGACTCGCCGCCCATGTCGAAACCGGCACCGCCAGTTCTCCTGGCAGGCAAAGGTTGCATTGCTGCACTGTCGCCATCGTGCTTGAGCTCAGGCCACTTGATGTCAGCTGCGAGAAGTGCGTGACAGAGATATGTAAGCATTGCGCTGACTGGGGAGGATAGTGGAGGTGCTCCGCGCAACTTACCGTCGTCATCGTTGAAGTCAGAGAAACGCTTGCCGCCGAACTTCATGTATAAGAAGACGAGAGCACCAAGAAGGGCGACACCACCCACCACAGACACACCGATGATTAGAGGAGTGTGGTTGGTATCACCTTCATCCTTGTTGGCATCGGATGTGTTAGTGGGAGTGGGTGTGTTTGCGATGGTGCTGGTCAGTGTCAAAGTCTCTCCCAGAGCGTTGGTTGAGGTGAGCAACGCCTGTTGTGCTGAAGAGAAAGAGGCAGCAGCAGACTCAGAAGCCCTGGATGCAGATCTGGATGAAGCGTCTGCGGCGGATTGAGAAGCTCTCGAGGCTGATGCTGCAGCAGCGGTGTCGGAGGAAGAGGAAGTGGAAGTTTGTGAAGCGCTACTCGACGAGCTGGTGGAAGTCGTCGTGTCGCTTTCGGACCTGGAACTCGAGGAGCTGCTCTGAGAGGTGGTGGAGCCGGGTTGACCAAAACTAAACAAGTCTCCCAAACCTTGAGGCGCTGGCGCTGGTGACGGCTTGGGCGAGCGCCGGTTGTGCACCGCCCGCCTTTCCATCCGAATGGCATGGTCGCTACCTCCCGGAGTCAGCTCAGCCGATGCCAGACCAGCGAGACCCGCTGCGAGGAGCAGAGAGACATAAAAGAGCTTTCGAGCAACCATTATGAAGAGTGAAGAAGAGCGAGGCAGATAAGCACGCGTGCCTGTCTACTATCGGTGAACGAGTGATCAGTCGCCAGGGCAAATGAAAGTCGAGCGCCCAGCCGTCAAGGATGCGGGTCGACTGAAGGAAGCCTCGCTTGATGAGGAGGTGCGGGCAAGACGACGACTCGATGGACGCGGTGTTGGTGAAATCAGTGGGGGCACTCGCTAGAGCTGCGTGTGCTGCCGAAAGAAGAGGCAGTCGAACGAGCAATGGTGAGCGCGTGTCTATGTGAGTTAGAGAGTGTATGCGTTTTGTTGAAGGCTGACGGTTGATGATTAGGAGGTGTGGTTTGCGAACTAGTGTGTGACGATGCAAATCGCTTTGATGAAGATGAAATGAACTCGCGACTGTATGTGACTGCGAGCAAAGCAAGCCTGGATGCGCTCCTCGTTCGTAGCTGCCCCTCGTCGTGTGTTCGTGCAAGACGAGGCAGCACCAAGACGGCGGGCAGCAAGCAGGCATCGTTTGCACACACATGGGACCAGATTCGATTCCGCACAGCTGTAGGCCGAGCGTACGCATCACTGCGCGTCGCGGCTCAGTCGACACTGTGACTGCTTTGAAGCTGGGCCTGCAGCAAATCGGCGGAGGTATTGAGCTGCTGCAACTGCATCCGCTAAGCCCTCCATGCGTCAGGCGTGCTCGGCAGCGCCCCTCCAGCACGGGGGCATTGCATCGCACGATAATTGAGGGGGGCTGCTCAGCGCATGCATGCATGCATGCATGCAAAGAGTCGTCGCTGATGTCCATTTGCTAGCTCCCTTGCCTTGCGCCATGTCTAGCAGCCCTCAGATCAGCATCAGCTAGACTCGCCGCACGCATGCAGGTCATTTTGTGTGTTGAATACAAACGTAGAGCAGTCAGCGCATTTATCATTCGTGAGTCTGATGAGTCTTGAGTGCTCCCCGGCTGCTCGCCCGTCACGTCCCTCCTGTAGAGCGCGCCAAAGTGCATGCAGACGCCTGCAGGCAGGAAAAGGGGCAGGCTCGTCGGTTGCACCATCGAGGCGGCTGATCCCTGTGGCGTCTTGAGACCTTGGCCGAGTTGTCACAAGGGAGGACTTGAAGATCGATCGTAAGCGGCTACCAGGGACTGTCGGAGCTATGATTCGTCTTTGTACTTGAAATCCTGCGCCGAGCCAGCACGCACAACCGTAAATTTGTAGTTATTCTTGGTCCACGCCCGCATGCTTTGGCTGCGTGACGGTGTTCACACTCCACTCCGCTCATGCTGCTTCGGCTTGAGCTGTGCAGCATCCATCGCGTGCAGGCCTAGGCGATGTGTCGAGCAGGTAGAATCATGAAGAAGCGATGCTTCGCATATACTTGTAGCTCTTCACGCCCGCTCTTGAGATCCGCTCCGTGTGATGCCAAATGAAGCTAAAGCCAACCGTGGATTGCTGCGTGGTGACGGCTCGTGCGGACGTCCTACAAAGGATCGTGTCTGTTGTGCCGCCACACAATCATGCTGCCGCCGCTTTTTTTGAGAATCAATAGTCAGCAAGAGTTACAGTGTCACTCTGATCTTGAACCTCTTCGAACTCGTTCACAACGTGAACAACAGCGCAGTAACAGGGTTCTTGATCCAAGATGACTCGGACAGCTCAAATGCTAGCCGCCCAGAGACCTTTTAGCTGACGTCTCTTTGGGCTCACGACTCCAATCCCTTGCTGTTGTCGATCTTCTGCTCCTAAACTCACGACTTCGACTCGTGACTTTGCTCAGCGCGCCCGCGGAGATTTACTAATCACGCGTCGGTCTTTCCGGCGACACAATTTGGCGATCCGTGGTTCACGCGTTCACATTTCAGATGCACTTGACTGAATGGAAGTGTGCGTAATTGCGCGTTGTAGCACTTCGTTTCGGAGACCTCGATACCGGTACCGTGATTCAGATTTGTTTGTAAATCAAGAATGTGATTTAGATCCATCAAGGATCAAGATCGGCCCGACCGCATATATACGTGACCTTGCCTACGTCTAGCTGCCGGCTGCAACACCCCTCGAGCGGCCATCACGAATCGATCTAGATCTGAAGTGGGCTTCAAAATCTTCTGGCTAAGTGATGCAGGACGACATCGCTGCAAGACTTGTTATGAGCCCTCGTCGGGCTACCTCTTTCAATTTTGAATCTGACAAGTCCATTTCTTTCCTCATGAATCTCGCATACTCTTGATATCCAAGATTCCTTGATCTTCAAACCGACTTGACTCAAGACTGTTCATTCGCTCACGTGACCTCATGTCGGCATGCCAGGTCAAGTCCGCGGAGATGCGCACACATAGCGCTCACGCACGCTCGTCAACCGCACGCATCAGAGGCGGGCGGGCGTGACTGGTTGAGGACGCGTAAGGCGTCGATCCGAGCGGTGCGAGATTGCACGGAGCGCTCGCGCTCGCGCCC